AGGTAACACTAAGGTAATGTGTTATTCATGTCCTTCACTATCAAGAATTCTAGGTTGTGACAATTGGAAAATCTGATAAAATAGACATTTAGTGATGGAATACATTCAGACACCAGGTATAGAAACGACATTGCAATACCTTCTCCCCCACACCCAGCGTGTGTCGCTAGTAAATTAAAAGCTAGCTGCCTCTCTCTTTCTTTGTAGAACAATTTTTTTTTAAGCCTGGCAGCATCTGTGGAGAGAAAACAGAGTCAATTTCCTACTACAATCGGTTCTGAAGAAGGGTTGCTAGAGCTGAAACATTGACTCTGCTTTCTTCCATAGATGCTGTCAGAGCTGTTGAGTTTCTCCAGCAATTTCTATTCATGTTTCAGATTTTCAACTTTTTTTTTTGAATAACCTTTAAATTGTGCCTTCTTTCTTATGATGCAGCAATTTAATCCAGAAATGCACATCCTGGCCTGATTTCATTTGTTATTGGACCAATATTTGACAGGCCACCAGCCCTTCCTAAGGCCACAAGAAACTACAGAGAGTCGTGAACATAGCCCATTCCATCATGCAAACCAGTCTTCCACCCATTGACTCCATCTATACTTCTTACTGCCTCAGGAAAGCAACTAACATAATCAAAGATCCTTTGCACCCGGTTAGACATGCTTCCACCCTCTTCCATCAGGCAGAAGATATGAACATTTGAATATATGTGTGAATAGATTCAAGAACAGCTTATTCCCCACTGCTATCAGACTTTTGAATGGATCTCTCAAATGTTAATTCTGATCTCTCTCTCTCTCTCTGCACCCTCTCTGTGGCTGTAACACTACAGTCGGCACTCTGTGTTGCTACCCTGTGCACTTTCTGTAGTACGATCTGCCTGTATAACACACAAAACAACACTTTTCACTGTATCTCAGTGTGTGACAATAATCAATCAACCATTTAAAAATCTCTCAGCAGGAAGCTTATTGCTTGACAAATCTAGATTTTTGTTGAAAGACTGTTCATTGCTAAATACGCAGAAATGATCTGGATTTGGGTATTGAAGGCAATAATATCAATATTTTACTGTTTATACCAAATTGGGGAGGATGGATGTGAAATTGTGATGAGGTTGTGAAGTCAGAGATGATGGCCAGTATAGATAAGTGTGAAATAATGTATTTTGTAAAAGTGAACTACTGCAGATGCTGAAAATCTGAAACAATCCCAGAAAATGTTGGAAAAACTCAGCAGGTCTGGCAGTATCTGCAGAGAGACAAACAGAGTTAACATTTTGAATCCAATACGATCTTTCTTCAGAACATTTCTTCTGAAGAAGAGTCATACTGGACTCAAAATTTTCTTGATTCTAATGAGTTTGCTTTTCAAAGGAAGAAATAGGAGTTAAATTTTAATGTAAACACAAATCCCTTAACACATACAGCTTGTTGACCATCAGAAAATTCTACATTTGGATTCCTGTGAGAAAGGCAGAGTGACAGATTTGATCATTCAGGATGGTCCTTAAATTATTGGCACTGGGTATAGTAGTTCTAAGCATATTCCATGGCAATATGTGGAAATGATAAGGCAACTACAATACGGAACATGTCATCAGAAATGTACACCTGGCAGGTTGGTCCAAAGAAACTATAAAAAAAATCAAAAGACTTCAACATTAAATGGTGACATGGGATGGTTTACATCTATCCTGGGTTTATTGGTGCAACATGGGCTGTTTTTCCCTTCCAACAGGCCCTGATTTGGTGAAAAAACAGTTGCTTCGGGGCTGCCTTCAATTAACTGGTGTTTTCTGAGGTTGGCAGTTCAGTGGAGTTGCTCTGCTGTTATCAAAACAACCTGAGGAAAAGATCTTTAGTAAACCCTTTGCATATCAAAGTTTCACTGCTGTATTTAATGCTCTAACATTTCTTGGAAGCTCTCCAGTTCTATTCTATGCAAAGACAACCTTGTGAAAATTAGATCATCGGAGATGAAACACCTTTGATAATCTGTGTTTGGAGTTGCAATCCACATTCTGGAGCTCGCAGTTCACTGTGAACTGCCTAAGCAGTGTACTAGCCAGCCTCATTCTCTGCAAGATGAAAAATAATTGTTTCAAAGTGTGCATGTTGTATTGTTTGACCATCACTGCAACCGCCATTGTCTCCCAGTTTATCAGAGAGCACACAATACCAACTTGCATTCCAGCTCAGATGCCCTAGGTTTATGGGAACTATCTGATGGGGGATGTGGAATCACCTTCCCTCACCCCCTTCTGTCTCTGAAGTAATATATGCATGACAGTACTGCAGTGTGGATAAGAAATTTGCAAGTTCCAGTTTGCAAAAAAAAGAAATGACGTGTTAAAGAGAAGGCTGGGCAGCTGTGCTACTTTAACACCAGGAAGTGTCCCTTGCCCCCTCCAGTCTGTCTGTATCACAAGGAGAACATCACTTCCTAGGTGAAGAAAGTCAAGTTTGGCTGTGGCTGCAGGGAGTCAATGAGGTGCAAATCTGTTTAATGTCAGTCTTATTCTATGACAGTACAGTAACTCAGCAAGCAGTCAGCACTTAACAAAGATACAATCCACATCCTGCACTGAGGGTGATCTAAGAGGGTTTGGGCTGTAACAACAGATAATGCATACTTAAACATTTTAGGTAGGCAGGGCCACCCTAGTTGGGCCATTTTAAATTGTATATTGTTCATGATGGGCACATTAGTTTAATTCAACCCCACATTGTTAACCACGAAAACTTGCAAATGGATAATCTCCACATCGACGCAGGTTAGAATTCCATCAGGAAGGAAATAGCTTCTTAAGGAAATCACTCGTGACACCACCATTTTAAATCCCTTTAAACCAATCTGAACCAGATTATTCAACATGTGTTCAGGAAAAGTTTTAATTGGTGTAAAGTTAGATTAGCATCTGTTAGATCTTTCTGATAGGACTAATTTGCTCACACAGGTCTAACCAGGGCTGAATGGGCAATTTTGTGATCTCATGCCATCCCCAGTGGGTGATCTAAAGCCTGCTGACAGACCTGAAATTTAATTCAAAAACTAAATATCGTTTTGGAAAGTAATTTAGCCTGAGAGTCTGTGTTGCTTCTAGTAACATTCACACATTTATTGCAGGTGAGCCTGTGACTTTGGCAAAGAAAATAAATAAATGGGAGTTAAAATCAGCAACAAAGTGACTGACAGAGAAATTGCATATGACCATATTCAGTGTTTAGCTGCTTGTATCATCAATGCTAATTTGTAAATCTATACGATCTGTTCCTTTTCCTTTGTTAGTGTTGCAATATGTCACTTTCTATTTAAAAGAAGTTAATTCACCTGGTCCTAGCCTTTTTGGAAGATTACTGCGGTCAATAAGTTGCAGACAGAATTCCAGTGCTATCACCAACCTTCACCTTAAAATACCATTTTGCTGATCTCGTCTGTTCTGCTCACCGCATTCCCATCAGATTGCCAGATCTCATTTCCCAGTCATCCTTGCTAACTGACACTAACTGATTCACCCTCCTCAGCTACTGTCCTGATATTTCCAAAATTGCAGACACTGTCACATATCCAAGAGCCTGCCCATGACCCAGTGCTCAGCAAAAACAGCCCGGTCTTCATTCTTTCATTTCCCTTCAAAATGCTTGAAGTGTTGTTGTTCTCGATTCTGTGTGACCTTTCACTCCACTTGAAGCTTGAATCTTTTACCTTCAAGTGCACTCTAAGCCATACATCATTCTGACTTGGTGCTATATCACTGTTTCTTCACTATTGCTGTGTTAAAATCCTGGAACTATTCTCCTAACAGCACTGTAGGCATCCCCACACCACATGGAATGCAGCAGCTCAAGGCAGCAGCTCACCATCACCTTCTCAGGGGCAATTAGAGATTGAAAATATATAATGTTGACTTAGCCTGCGCACCCATCTCCTATGATCAAAATTAAGAAAAGGTTCCTATTCAGCATGGAAATAGTCCGAACTGAGATCACAATCACACCCCCTGACTGTGATCGAAGTACATATTCCTTTCTTCCTTACCCTTCTTTTCTTTTGTGCAATCCTTGACTCGCTCAACCGCGGAATTTTCACTGCCTTTACGCAGCATTCCCCACTTCACCACAATATCCAGGCCTCACAGATTGAAGGATGAAGGCCTATGATGATGTCCATCCACTCATTAACCAAACCAGGTGCTGTGCTTTTCGATTGATGAGCAGATTACAAACCCTTTCAAATATTGAGTTATGTTGAGAAACAGCGATTGGTGAAAACATAATGTGAGTTACTCAAAAATAGCAAAGGAACACTGACTATCTTTTGACCTCTTTGGGAACTGTGCACCTCGTAAGATTGCTTAGCTCTCTTATTGACACAATTTTGAGAGAAAACTGTTATCATTGAGCAATATCGAGTCATTGAGTCATGCAGCACAGAAACAGACCCTTCAGTCTAACTCATCCAGCCGACCAGACCTAGTCCCATTTGCTAGCATTTGGCCCATATCCCTCTAAACCCTTCCTATTCATGTACCCATCAAGATGCCTTTTAAATGTTGTAATTGTACCCGCCTCCACCACTTCCTCTGGCGGTTTATTCCATACACGCACCATCCTCTGCGTGGAAAAGTTGTCCCTTAAGTCCTTTTTAAACCTTTCCCCTCTCACCTTAAACCTATGCTCTTTAGTTCTGGACTCCCCACCCTGGGAAAAAGTCCAGCACCAGAGATCATATTCTCACCACTCTCAGTGCTCCCTCTCTTCCCTGGGATAGAGGGTGACTTTGCTTCCACTCTGGTTTGATGGGTTCTGTCATGATTGATAACTCAAAGGTGTGATCTGTAGACTGGGCCTCACGTTGGGCTGGTGCTGCCTGGAAGGTTCGGGTTGATGAGTTGTTTGGAAGTTTGTGTGTTTTCTCCAAAGCTTTGACATCACCTTGGCATGTTCCTGAGGCAGCGTCTCAATGTGTTTGATGCCTTTCCTTTTTCTCCATTTTAGCTGGTCACAAGCCAGGGATTCCCATCTGCCCGTGCAGACCTCTTCAGGGATGCTTTGAGGACATCCCCAAGAACATTTCCTCAACCCTGTTTGGAGTGCCCTGCTGTGAACAAGTTGCAGGTACAGCAGTTGCATCAGGGCGTCTGGTATCAGAATGATGTGCCCCACCCATTGTAGCCAGTTTTGTGTGATTAGCACTTCAACGCCAGGCCTGTTGGCTTGAGAGATGATTCTGCTGTCCTTGCTTGCCACTGGATTTGGAGGTATTTATCGAGCTTTCGGATGTGTGATGTAGGCTGTCCAAGCCTTGAAAGCTCACCAGAGCACGGGGATCACTGCTCTAAGGCTAGCCATCACTGTAGCCTTGGTTTTGAATCTTATTTTTAGCTCTGCTGGTTCGTGATGTGTAATTCAAGAACAAATCTCTTTTAGTGTTTTATTGCCGCTATTTAACATTCGGAGACAGGGCTATGAAGTCAACGAGCTCAGAGATAGTAAGAACTGCCGATGCTGGAGTCAGAGATAACACAGTGTGGAGCTGGAGGAACACAGCAGGCCAGGCAGCATCAGAGGAGCAGGAAAGCTGACGTTTCGGGTCGGGACCCTTCTTCATTTCTTGCATTCCACCCGAAACGTCAGCTTTGAGAAAT